AAGCTCCATGGATTTATAAAATTCTGAGACAGTCTCAAGCGAAACCTGTTTTTTTTTCCGATAGTTTTATGTTTATTTTCTTTTATATACATATATACACATAAAAAAGCAAAATTATCTCTCCCTCTCTCTCTCTCTATATATATACATATATATATAAACATATATATATATATATAATTTTTATATGAAAAAACAGAAAAAACTGGGAACCTGTCGCACGTCCAGGCCGCTAAAGATCCCCAAATAAGGATTCCCTTTGTAATCCGCCACAAAAGGATTTCCTTTGTAATCCGTCACCTAAGGAATAAACTTGTAATCCGCCACAAAAGGCTTCACGTTGTAACCCGCCACAAAAGGAATCAATTTGCAATCCGCCACAAAAGGGTTCTCTTCGTAATCCGCCACGGAAGGATTCCCTGTGTAATCCGCCACAAAATGAATCAATTTCTAATCCGCCACCAAAAGGAATCTATTTGTTGTAATCTGTCACAAAGGGAATCAGTTTGTAATCCGCCACAAAAGGAATCAATTTGGAGTCCGCCACAAAAGAAAATCAATTCGCAATCCTTTACAGAAGGACGAAAAGAGAAGGAGGAGGATGAACGCGAAGTAGATGCCATCAGAATGAGCCAAGAGAGTGGCCCACGAGAGTCCCATGCCAAACTCTTGTAACTCGTCGTAGACTGCCCGCAGCGTGCGACCGTCGCTATCACCTCCGTCGCCCTCGTTGGCATCCCCACTCCCGCCCTCGTCGGTCAACGCGCCCACTCCCTCAGGCCTCGACGGGGCCCCGTCGGGTGGAGCGAGGGGGGGGGGCTGATCAAGAGGAACGGGAGTCACCGCCGCCTTGTCGCTCGACCTCCCTCTTGACATCGGCGAGAAGGCCACGGCGCTTGATTTCGTCGATCTCCCTCCGTTTCATCAGCGTCACCTTCAAGAAAGAATCCTTCTCGCAGGCAAAACCGATGGCCTCGCGGTGGGTGATGTCTCCCTGCCGCAACTCGATCTGGTCGCCGTAGCGGTAGCCCTCGCTCCCCGTGTCGGCCACGACCCAGCACTGACCGTCAGGGGGCTTCAAGGGCGGGGCCTTGGCGCCCTTGGCCT